TATGCAAGCTTATCTAGAAAAGGTCATTGACGAGATTCAGGCACCTATCAATTAACTTGAATTTTATGATACCTACCGCCACAAATAAGAGATAATGAAAGGAATGTTTTTTCTTGTCCTTATGCCACTATTTAGGGTTGGAGCAGCATATCCTCTTTTTCCTTTAAGGTCTACCATATCTTATTTCTGCAATCACACCCTTCTCTCGCGTATCCTATTTTACACAATCCCTCTAAGTTTTTTAGGACACGTCCTCCTTCCATTACCTAACACTATAATGACTAAGATGCGAAAAGATGTCATTTTATTTGAAGAGAAAAATCAAGATGATTGTAAATTAGTAGGGTTAGCGCGAAATATTTTAGAAATAATATTAAATTCATAGCTGTTCAGTCGACGTAGCCTAATGGCAACGCATGCAATGGTAGGGAATTTTCTATGCTCAAATAACTCATTACCATGCTGCTTATTCCTGCCATGAAACAGACTTGAATTAACTCGTGAGGGATATGTGCCATTCTATACACTTTACAGCTTCACAATAACAATAATAACCCGTATTTAATTTATTTGACAGAAGAGGAAGAAGAAGAAACAAATTGCAACCCAAGATTACTCACATCGATAATAAATGAATCAATTTGTTTTAAAACACAATGTATCCTATTGAACATGTTCACATCTCGGACACATCTAAGCTACGTTATTATTCATTTAAGATTAGAGTATTGCTGCAACAAGTATACATATTTCTCACGGCACCTTGCCGTTTACACGGTTCAAATTATTGATAAATAGTTTTAAAGCCATTGAAGCCACACTAGTTAGTATTGCTACATCTACATAGAAACCACGTAATATTAGCGATTGTGGCCCGATGGTAATTAAGGAGTGAGGACTTTTTATTGAGGGTTCCATGGTATTGTGGGCGGAAACCTTTGCCGCTGCCCAGCTGAGATGTTTTTAAGCTATTGCATAGCTTTTATCGCGGGCTTTGAGCGCGGCGTCCGAATCTAGAAATTCCGTAACGAAAATAAAACCTAACACCTCCCACTCCGCCTACCATGTAGCTCGCGTTCAACACATTCACACGTTGCGCTTGTGTAATGTTTGTGAAAAGCGCGCGACGTGACGTCGCACTGCATGCGCATCATGAAAAGTCTGTCATCTCTCTCTCGCGTGGTCTAGCTTATGAGTTATGTTTTGCTTTCGTTAATGTTTATAAATATAGCGTGGTCTTATTTTATTATTATTGTTTTAATATTAAATTATTATTGTCTAACTATAATTGCAAAAGTTGATAAAAAATGCTATGCAATAGCTTTACCGCGGCAGTCCCCGAGTGCCAGTGCTAAGAGGCTATTCCAGCTACACCCGGACGGGTAGGTGAGCTCACGGACTCAACCTGAGAGAATTTGGTAGAACTAGCCCAAACAAAAGCAGTGCTTCGGAGAATCTACCAACGGATCGGAATCGCGGCCAACTAAGTAGATTCGGCGAGAAACTCAGTGAGCTGTGAGGGTTAGTTTGCTCGTTGAACTCTTGGCCGTAATCGACGGGTTCGATGAAGACGGTGACCGGTGCTTGAGGGCCTTAAAAGCACCGAAAGTGAATCCGGGGGATCCGACATCTTTTGGGCGACGGCGGCTTTGCGTAAGAGATGTTATTGGGATACTGCTGTCATGTTCTTTAGACTTAAATACACGAAATTGCGGCAGAAATAATCAAGCCATTAACCCTCAGAATTGAAGTCTCAACATCGCCAGTAAAGTTATGGGCTTTTTATTTTTTTACAAAGAATATCTTGCAATTTTTATTATGGCCTATAATATTTTACTTTTTGCTATTCTAGCAGAATTTATGATATATTCTTGCAAAAATTCACCCGCACCTTGACCATTCATAAGGGCTAAATTGCTGATTTTTAACACTAAAATGCTGCTAAACAAACTAAGTCATACTCCCTAAGTTTCATACCACAAGTGTCATATTATTTCCCCTTGTAACGCCAAAAATTAAATACGTATTTCGTAATCGACGCATACATCACATAGCTCACGATTTAGTGTGGTACAAGTTTAATATGTATATAATATCGCTTTTCTATATTATTTTAGTACTCTGAAGTTCACGAGTCTACTGGAAGATATTTCTTAAGGAAACAAGCAATGCCTTACATATTACTAAATTTATCTACTATTGTCTATTGTTATGTGTTTTTTCATTTAAATAAATAATAATTTTCATTTTAAAATTTTTGTGTTTACTAATTCAGCACTATTATTTTAGATTGGTTACAAATTGCAAATTTAAAATTACGCAATTACAATTTGTACCTTTCAAGTTCAGTAGCATTTCTTTATTACGGTTTGACAAATATTATGACAGAATTTAGTTCAATCATCAATATATTAAAAGAGTAAGTAAAGTAATAGATTTATAAAAGACGATTAAACGACTATGAATAAAACGCTTTCAGTCGATGACTTATTCCACAATTAGAAGATGAGTGGCGGAGTATGTTACTTGCAACTCGAAGCTATCACGAACTGTAGCTAACCGCTAAATAAAACTTCCATTTACAAGTTACGATTTTACTGATTTTACTGTTACGTGTTTACCACAGAAAATATGAAACCGAACGTCTGTGTTTTCTATGAGAGAAATGTGCCATTGATGCTTATTTGAACTCATAGTAAAAGTTCGAGTTGAGACTAAAAGATTTTATCGCGAAATTGTGTGAACAAAATCTTTTGAAATTTATGTACAGGTACGCGATTTGATTTGTTTCATTAGGAGGTCTTGTGAGTCCGCTCTGCCTATATCTGTCTTGAAGCAATAATGCGTTTCGGTTTGAAAGGTGGGGCAGCCGTTGTAACTATACTTGAGACCTTAGAACTTATATCTCAAGGTGGGTGGCGCATTTACGTTGTAGATGTCTATGAGCTCCAGTAACCATTTAACTTCAGATGGGCTGTGAGCTCCTCCACTCATTTAAGTAATAAAAAAAAAACAGTTGATAGAGAATTAATAGGCCGGGGATGTCTTTTGGAAGGATATCGTAAAAAGGGGACACGATATCGGGGCAGTCGAAGAAAAGTTTATCCAAGGTACCCTCATCTAATCCACACTTACAAAGAGAACGGTCTCGGACTCTAATTTTGGCAAGAAAAACAGGGGAGCAAACATGGCCGAGTCTAAGACGGATAATAGCTGAGAAGTCTGCAATGAGCGAGCAATGGAAACCGAACAATATTGAGGTGAATTAACCTACCATGAGCTTTCTTTGTAATGCAAATTTGTTACGCAGACAATTCACACCAAATGATCACTTGTTGTGCGGGATGAGCTACGGGTCTAGCCTAGAAAACGCTTATCGCATTCGATTCAATATCGTATTGAAATCGCAAAGTATAAAACCAACAAAATCCATTTCACAATCAAGTTCGTGTGTGTTTTCATCAGAATTAATTAATATTGAACTAACTTTTAAAGTGCCGTATAACCATCGTACCTTATTTGCTAAGTAATTAATTTTCGTAAAAGTAATTAGTTGTAATTTAATCTGTTGTCTCTATTTAACGTTATTCATTACTGTTATATTTTATTTTATGTGCCCACACAGAGCCCGCACTCCAGTATAAAATAGAAAAATTACAGAATATATCATTCCTTCAAATAAAACTATCATTTTTAAGTAGGTAATATCTTAATGTCAAGAGCTGTACGTTAGCAATGGAATGGTATCTATGAGCTGGAATTTATGGGCTACTACCAATTAACCTTGAGCGAGCGATGAGTTATCATGTCCTATTTGTATTTCTTTCAAAGGTAGAAGAGCATACGACCCACTTGATGCTGGGTGGTCACCGCTACACTTGATGATCTAAAATGCCAGATGCTTAGCCAAGCCTCTTAGCCCACTGAGTTTCTCGCCGGATCTTCTCAGTGGGTCGCGTTTCCGATCCGGTGGTAGATTCTGCGAAGCATTATTCTTGCTAGGGCTATTTTTAGCAACGTCCCCATGAGCTCACCTACTTGTTAGGTTACGCTGGCATAACCCTCTAAAGTTATCAGCTTAGGTATATATATAAAAAAACACTGAGAAATGTTTTAAAAACACTAATTGCATTTTTTCGAATCATCGTGTAGAAGAGTTCGTTTGTGTCTGGAAATGCAATTAGAATGAGGATAACGTCTCCTAACGAGTATGGATGAATTGTGCTCCGATGGCGGACGAGATGACGTGATCCCGTCAAATTACTCACAATCCATCCAATTTAGTTCCGAACCCTGAACTTTTTAAAAGCGAAGCAAGAAAAAAGTGAAATCACGGACACACACACAGCATTCTTATAATAATCGTACCGCCTTTCATTTTAGTGTAATATCACCCACAGGCCTCCGGCAAAATGTATGTATGCTGCATACCGTGATCAAACTTTAGATAATTTGAAAAGTCGGATGTCGTTACGTACCTACTCCTCTTGTTATTTATAATTTGTGCGTTGCTTTACGAACATCTAGAACTTTCCATGCCAACGAATACAACGGCTTGCACAAACGAATTTAATGATATTATTAAAGACTGTTATGCCATGGCTATGGAACTCTAAAAAGTAACATTAAATTCATCTTTATAGAATAGTAAACAGGAATGCGAAAATAATTAAAAAAAATATATTTTAGTCATGCAAAACATTTAGAGATATATTCTGATACACTGCGAACGCTCCTTCGTACCTGTAAAATGTTCTCATAGAAATAACAACTAAGAAAAAAATATCTAAAACTTAAGCCGGAATGCAACTGCAGACAAGAATGGACTTTGAACTTCTTTATTTAAAATATTCATGCAAACCGGCCGGACGTTAAAGCATTGTGTCCGAAGCTAAAATGTCGTCGGAACGGAAGGCGCGCTCCCTTTCCTCATACATTTTGTACTGTCGACCCCGCCCCGCGCACGCCGTCAGAAACTCAGTATCGAGCGTACGCCCGTCTGCAGCGCGTGCATTGTTAACATTGAAAATGACAGAAATAGAAGACTTGATCTCGGAGGTGGAAAAAAATCCATGTCTATGGAACGTCGGTTGTAGTAATTATCAAAATAAAACGCAAAGAGACTTGGCCTGGGAAGAGATATGCAAAAGAATCATCCCACATTGGAATGATTTGAACATGGAAGATAAAAAGCAAATTAGTAAGTGATTAGTCGATTTTACTTTTTTCACATACCGTATACGTTCATGGGACTCTAATGATCAGAAAATAGTTAACTAAGTAGATTCGTAAACGTACACATAAAAGATGTTTACATTTTTTTTATAGGGCGTCTAGCACAGATAAAGCAATACTCTTTTGAGGTTTGACAAGGACGTATTTGACAGTTATAAAATTACGTTTTTATATGTTCGTTCACCGGTTCGTTCAAGGGATCAGACCATACAGCCAACAATCATAGAGTATTATACTATGTACAAAAAGCGTACCTTCTTTCAATACCGATTATAATTGAATACGCAATTTCGAAAATGTAAAATGTTCAGGAAATTAAAAAACTAAAGCAGTGTAAAATTTAAAATATTAACTTTTGAGATATATTTTAGTGCTAATTAGCATCTGAAAATTACTGGAATTATTATAAAATGGGTGTAGGTAAGCCTCAAAACTACATGTATATGAAAAAACGTATTTGATAAAATATGCAACATGTGCCCTTTTCGAAATTGCATATTCAATTATACTTGTTTTAAATTCTGGTGTAGGTGTCTGTACTCCCATCTACGAGGAAAGTAAAAAAGAACTGTATTTCTCGTTTGAAAAAGATCATCTCTTCGACACAAAACTCACCGAGGCCGGCTGGAGACAAAGTAATTCAATTAGTGTGGAGCGCATTTCTCCCTTCCACGCTGCTCCTACTGGGCGCCGAATCACCAGCTTCTCCATGTTCAATCTACAACACTACAACCTACTACACTTTAAAAAATACTGCATACCTTCCGAATGTTCTATAATTGAATAATATAATAGCTGAGTTGTGGACGTATCAATTTTAGCTGTGGACTACTCAATAATTTGGTGTACTAGGTAGTTATTTAAAAAATTAATTCTGTTTTGAGTATACTACTTGTTTTCAAACGCTAAAAAACGTCCCTCACCTCACCTCTGAGAAATAGAATTGAGGGCGTTGAAAGTAACTACGCTAGGCATCTTGTAAGTTAGAGAGAAAATAATCAGAATTCTTTAACGACAACGTCATTTTCAGGGGAATATAAAAAGAAACAATGGAATAACGTCAGAGATGGTTACAGAAAATATTTGAACAGAAACAAAAATACGCCCGTGCCAAAGAAGAAATTCATTTACGAGAATGACCTTTATTTTTTGTTACCGGTTTTACAAAACAGCAAATCGTAAGTTCAAACTCGTCGACTATTAGAATCTTTTATCTCTCTCTTCTACACTATTCGTCTCTCTTTTATATCCGAATGTATTATTTTTCGATACGTTTCCAGTCGCGAACGAAACCTCCCATCGGAATTACACGAAGACAGTTACGAAGACAATGAAACTATTGAAATTGAAGTGAGACCACAAACGGAAGACGAGGATGACGAAGACGAGAGGAAATCGTTCAGAAAATACGCAACTTCAGAAAGGCAGACTAAAGCTCAACAGAAATATACGCCCGACGAAATACCTTATCAAATTTTAAACATAACAAAACAGAATACGGACGATGAAGTCAGCTACCAAGATGTGGATTCTCAATTCCTGCTGAGCTTCCGCGACGACATGAATGCGATGTCGAGATCTCAGAAACTGAAATTCAAGTTAGGCATGATCCAATTAATACAACACGTAACCGAAGACCGGGTTAGTGACCCCTTCGGTGAGTGTTGAGACATCTAAGGATCCTTTATTAGGCAAAAACACACCAATACTCTCCCAAAACTGCTCTCAGAATTAAGAGCACTACTATATTATGCTCTATCATATCGCGCAGTTTAAATTTGGATTTAATAAAAACAATTTAATGCTTTTTTTATTCTTTTATTACTAAAATGGATGGACGAGCTCACATTCATCCTGGAGTTAGGTGGTAACTGGAGCCCATAGACATCAACAACGTAGATTCTGTCTCACCCACTTTGAGACATAAGTTCTAAGTTTCAGTTTTTAATACAGATGCGCCACCCTTCAGCCGAAACGCATTACTGCTTTACGGCAGATATAGGCAGGGTGGTGGTACCTACCATCCATATCCTATCTCCATATACATCACTTTAATCAATCACTTTAAATTATGGTTACCTTTACTACGGAACCCATCACTGTACATTGCGATGTTGTTCCATCGTCATAAAAGACATTCGTAATAATAGATTAGGTAAGTGCTTCGATTTAAAAATTTGTTACCATGGTAACATTGGTCATGACCAAGAGCGCTTGATAAAATCATTCATTCCTTCTTCATAAAAATTAATAATCAAAAAACGCAAAAGTATTTATTGAAACGGTACCTTAAGTCGAAGCGGCTACAGACGACAACGACCCAAGAATTTCGAAAAAGAAATAAAAATGATTGTTTGCACTAATCTAAATACATTTATTTTAAAGTGTACACAAAATTTTTAGCTTACGAAAATGTTTTATGAATCGATCCAAATTCAATATTTTTTAAACCGTTTACATACCAACGTATTATTTTATTGATTAAGTTTTATATCAATATGAAGATTGTAATTTTTTTGGTTGAATATACACATACAGTAATTTAACTATTAAATATAAGATTTTCGCTCGCAGCTCTGTCTGTGTAGACTACTCTTTACATCGCAGACCGGAAACTCGCAGTCAGAAATAGAATGCGAAGTAGCCTGTATTATTTCCTTCGGTTACATGCCGAATTGCGTCAAAATTGCGTAATTACTGGTGGTAGGACCTCTTGTGAGTCCGCGCGGCTAGGTACCACCACCCTGCCTATCTCTGCCGTGAAGCAGTGATGCGTTTCGGTTTGAAGGGTGGGGCAGCCGTTGCAACTATACTGAGACCTTAGAACTTATATCTCAAGGTGGGTGGCGCATTTGCGTTGTGGATGTCTATGGGCTTCAGTAACCGCTTAACACCAGGTGGGCTGTGAGCTCGTCCACCCATTTAAGCAATAAAAAAAAAATGTTTAGTGATTTGAGAGTGAAAAAGCTACAAATACATAGAATTCATTAAAATGTCGTATATAACAATATTATTTGATAAATAGCTTCTAACGTGTAAGCGAATAAATCTTCATATGAGGATAACTTCCGATTTTAATTCATCATCGCTCCATATTCATATGTTCCTACCTGTGAATCTACATGAAATTCCGCTAACTAGTTCTCAGGTGTGCTTAGTGCGAGTTTTTTAACGTGCTCGATAGCGTAGAAGTTAGCTCATTTAATTTGTATGGAATGGGATCGTTCGCGTACGTTTGCCGCTAGGGGCGCTGTTCCAACTGCATACGAAATTGGGTTCACTTTTACGCTATCGAGAACGTTTAGAAACTCGCATTAAGCACACTAATGAATGTTCGCGAACAAAATAGCAGACAAACAGAAAGTAACTGCGATAAAAATTACAATTACAACTCAATTTGCTTCTCAATATTATTCTTTAAATAAACCCATTCTTTTTTATTTCTTTTTCTAGAATGTGCAGAGACACTGTATTATCTTGTTGTATTATTTGTAACATCTGAAGCATAAAATTCAAATTGAACTCACACGCACGGGCCTCTTTCTAAATTATGCCTTTGTTCAGTTTTCAAAGTAATTTTTTCACTCGCGGAACCTCCGATATGACCTTTAATGACACCTAAGATACAATGAAGCGTCGGATTGTGTCTGCAAACTTATGGATGACACAAAAACGCTTAACAAAAGTCATCTTTCATAACATTATTCTAAGAGGAAGTAATTCATATCATTAGTAGGATAAAGGTCGAGAATAATCTATGGAAAAATCGCTTTAACACGATTAACAAAAAAATATTCAAGAAATTCAATATTTATTAGGTTGCTATTATAGCAATAGCAATGATCTTTGGTTTTTCCAAGATTTATAGTGAAATACGAGCATATTACTCGTTTCTGTTTGAAAAGATTGGTTAAATCGAAACTGATTTTACAATAAACAAAGTGATGTCTATCACTACATAGTATAAAACAAAGTCGCTTTCTCTGTCCTTATGTATGATAAAATCTTTAAAACTACGCAACTAATTTTGATGCGGTTTTTTTAATAGATAGAGTGATTGAAGAGGAAGGTTTATATGTATAATAACATCCATTAAATAGTGGAGAAATCAATAATAATTTACAGTTTCCGAAGCGAAGCGAAGGCGGGTCGCTAGTAATGTATAGTCAAAACTGTTTCACCACTTCATTTATGTAGCTATTAAGTTACTAAGCTATTAAGATATAGAATTGAGTTCCTACTAACTGTTAAATACAAAAATTGTAAAACTAAATAGGTAACTCTATTTTCAGTTCATACCTGTAAATGTTATGTAAATGTCCTTGCATAATTATGTTGATACCTCCACTACCCGACGTTGGCAAAATTGTACTTTAATCTAAGTAACAAAAGCCAGAAAGAAAGGAAAAAAAAAAAAAAAAAAAATTGACTACCACAAAGTTCAATTAAAGAATAAATATAGTAGAAATATAACAGCGCTGAAATCAAAAGTATAAGAAGTACAAAGCTTTATATACCTACATAATAAAATAAAATGATAAATTAAAAAAGTAATAAATCACGATAAAATGAAAAATTAATATTTCCAATACTCATACCAATACTAAAGTTGTTCAATTTGTTAACTCCTGTTATTTTTGTTAAAATACAACTAATTTGTAGTAAAATGTTTAAAAATTTATTATAATCAAATATTTACAAGTTTTAAGCACCACTTAAGTCGATTGGAATTAGTTGAAAATAAATAAATAAGCAAAGCCGCAAACTCACACAACAATAACATAATAATATTATAGTAACAAAATGAATATTCTAGATATGCGAGTATGCTACTGACAAGTAAGCCGGATGTCAAATGTTATACTGTCAGAATGTCGGAAGACTCATTCCCCATACATTTTGAGCAAGTCCCGCCTCCCCGCGCAACCCGTCCGTCAAAATTCAGTGTCGAACGGACGCCTGTGTGCAGCGCGCGCTGTTATCATAGTGAAAATGACTGAAATAGAAGAATTAATTTCGGAGGTGGAANAAAGCACGGCTAAAATTCGAACCCCGTGCCCGATATCGGCAGTTCGGCACACTAACTATTCACTAGACAATCGAGGCAATTTCATTAATTCAGGAGTTTTTTCAATCGTTCACTTTGTCACAACACTATTTTTATTTCATCAAAAACTGACAACACAGTAAACGTCAGTTTACTTCGTCTAATAAAAAATCCGACTATACATAGTATAAAACAAAGTCGCTTTCTCTGTGCTTATGTATGATAAAATCTTTAAAACTACGCAACGGATTTTAATGCGGTTTTTTTTAATAGATAGAGTGATTGAAGAGGAAGGTTTATATATATAATAACATCCATTAAATAGTGGAGAAATCAATAATAATTTACAGTTTCCGAAGCGAAGCGAAGGCGGGTCGCTAGTAATGTATAGTCAAAACTGTTTCACCACTTCATTTATGTAGCTATTAAGTTACTAACCTATTAAGATATAAAATTGAGTTCCTACTAACTGTTAAATACAAAAATTGTAAAACTAAATAGGTAACTCTATTTTCAGTTCATACCTGTAAATGTTATGTAAATGTCCTAGCATAATTATGTTGATACCTCCACTACCCGACGTTGGCAAAATTGTACTTTAATCTAAGTAACAAAAGCCAGAAAGAAAGGAAAAAAAAAAAAAAAAAGATTGACTACCACAAAGTTCAATTAAAGAATAAATATAGTAGAAATATAACAGCGCCGAAATGAAAATTATAAGAAGTACAAAGCTTTATATACCTACATAATAAAATAAAATGATAAATTAAAAAAGTAATAAATCACGATAAAATGAAAAATTAATATTTCCAATACTCATACCAATACTAAAGTTGTTCAATTTGTTAACTCCTGTTATTTTTGTTAAAATACAACTAATTTGTAGTTAAATGTTTAAAAATGTATTATAATCAAATATTTACAAGTTTTAAGCACCACTTAAGTCGATTGGAATTAGTTGAAAATAAATAAATAAGCAAAGCCGCAAACTCACACAACAATAACATAATAATATTATAGTAACAAAATGAATATTCTAGATATGCGAGTATGCTACTGACAAGTAAGCCGGATGTCAAATGTTATACTGTCAGAATGTCGGAAGACTCATTCCCCATACATTTTGAGCAAGTCCCGCCTCCCCGCGCAACCCGTCCGTCAAAATTCAGTGTCGAACGGACGCCTGTGTGCAGCGCGCGCTGTTATCATAGTGAAAATGACTGAAATAGAAGAATTAATTTCGGAGGTGGAAAGAAATCCATGTCTATGGAACGTCGGTTGTAGTAATTATCAAAATAAAACACAAAGGGACTTGGCCTGGGAAGATATATGCAAAAGAATCATTCCACATTGGAATGATTTGAACATGGAAGATAGAAAGCAAATTAGTAAGTAATTGGCCAATTTTAGTCATTCATCAATAATGTTCCTTTAGTCCTAATAAATATAATATGGTAATAAAATATGTAAATTTATAAACATACTTATTTACATTACGTTTTCATTAAATTACATATTAAAAATGAAATGAATCCAGTGACATTTGTTTTGGTTGGTATAGATTAAGCGTTGCCGTAGATTACACAGAAAGAAGCATCCTTATTGGCTGTCAGGCGTCAGTGTTACAATTCAGTAGATAATGCACACTTATCGGAAACTTTGCTATGCCGGTATTCTAATCACACTGATACTAAGTTCATGAATGACTTGACGATGAAGAATGCGTGGCGACGCGTTGCCATTCGCAGCTGACTGTGCGATTCTATTGCCACTGGTTTGGAGTTACTGTATTTCTCTGGCCACACTGAGCTCGGATACCTATAGAATATACAGTTTTGTTTACAACAGTCTAAATAAACCGTGTTTTACTATAAAAATGATTAAAATATATCTGAAAGTGATGATTTACAAAGTAAAATATTTTGATGTGAAATATGTATCTACAAACGCACGTAAAATTGATTGCTGGGGTGTTATTTTTACATTATACCGTATTAGTTCCTGTCGTAATTTGTTCTTCTAAGCATATTACTTGAACAAAATAATTCGGATGTTTCACACCTGCCAGACCTCTCGTGACGGCACTCAATTTTTGTTCATATCGCCATCTATGACAATAATGAAAAATATGCATTTGTTTAAACACCGGCGTTCGTCCCACTGAGTTTAACTTTGCGTATTTCTTGGTTTAAATTACGCTTCACAATTTTTTATCTATCGTTTTATAATTATATTTCATTTCCTTATTTACGCAATAAATTATAGTTTATTTATATTCCAATGACGTATAATTTTCAAATAGCGTAAATGCCTTATTTATTTTATTGTTATCCTAGGAAACAGGTTACAGCTACCTACAATTATGATACACTTTTCCAAAGACTCTCATTACGTATCAGTAGCTGTTACGTCTTCGTCATCATTATACACATGGTAACACCAGAGCCTAGCATTGTCTTGGAATAGAATCGAAATAGATTATTTTAAGGCTATCATGTTGCTTATTTGCGTTTTTATCTACAAATACAGATTAGTTTTAACTTAAAATGAAGTAATCAAACTGACAATCTTTCCAGTTGCAAGAAATCTTGTAAGAGAAATAATAATTCAGTGATAATTTCTTTATTTACAGGAGAATATAAAAAGAAACAATGGAACAATGTAAGAGATGGTTACAGAAAGTACTTAAATAGAAATAAAAACACTCCGGTACCCAAAAAAAAATTCATATACGGGGATGATCTACAGTTCTTGCTACCCATCTTGAAAAACAATAAATCGTAAGTTAAATTTAATCAAAATACTTATTGTACTTGTCTGTTTCATTTCCTAATGTTTTTATTCATCGAAATATTTCCAGTCGTGAACGCAACCGTCCATCAGAATCGCATGATGATAATGACGAAGATAATGAAGCTTTTGAAATCGAACTAAAACCATACACTGAAGACAGTTACGAGGATGACGAAGAAGAGGAAACTAAATCATTTCGTAAATACAGAACTACAGAGAAGAGGAATAAAGCTCAACAAAAATACGAAAATGACGAAATACCGTATCAAATTTTAAATATTACAAAACAGAAAACGGACGACGAAGACAACTACCAAGATGTGGATTCACAGTTCTTGCTGAGCTTCCGCGATTATATGAAGGGAATGACGAGATCGCAGAAGTTAAATTTTAAGTTAGGCATGATTCAACTTATACAGCATGTGACTGAAGAAAAAGTGAGCGATCCGTTTAGTGAGTGTTGAGGGTAATTGGTGCCTTATTTAATAAAAATACGATAAGAAAAGCGTCAGAGGCTTGCATTCGACAGCTTGAAAGCTGGTTGTAGCTCAGAAACACTGGGCCACAAGACTGTATCTGGCGAAATAAACTTCCAGTATATTAATAATAATAAAATTACTTTATTATAAAAATTTAAGTTTTATTTTAAATACGTGATTATTTTTTTAATATTACTAATAATAGATGCAACATAGCACAGTAACATATTAAGATAACAATTTACTAATTTGTTATAATAAATTTCGTGTGAAAAAGTTAATAGTGAAAAGATAAAACCGATAAACATTTATGAATAAACTACCGCTAATTCCAAAACGATGAAGACTTTGTCTAAAGTTGATCGGCCGCAGCGGCGGTATTGTTCAGGTATCAGTAGATAATATATGTACTCTGGTACCTAACTGTTTACTGTCGAACCGTGAGTTTTCATATCTAAGTCAAAAACACACACAACACACATCAAAAACTTACACATATATGAGTAAATGTTTATTTCCCTTTGTTTTGTTCCTAGTTACAATATATTTGGGCAAAATAAAATTAAGTTTTGACAACCCTAAATGTGTTCCGCATAAGTTAATTACGAAAAAAATAGAGGAAACGGACAAATGATGATGTTCTCTAACATAATCAACTTAATCATTGCTTCTAATCGCCATAGATTATTTACTAATGCATATATGCAATCGCTTCAATCGGCGGACGCGGAGCGGTTACCTACATTACGTATTGTCACTATATTTTGACAATTTAATTGAATTCTGTACATTGATTGTTAACCACGAACATCACTCGACGTCGCCCAAAACACGTCATTACGGATCTTCCCGATCCACTAACGGTGCTTTTAGGTACTACAAGCACCGGTCACCGTCCTCGTCGAACCCGTCGCTTGCGACGAAGGGCTCGACGAGCGAATTAACCCACAGACACAACCCATTGAGTTTCACGCCGGATCTTCTCAATGAGTCACGTTTCCGATCCGGTGGTAGATTCTGCGATGCACTGCTCATGCTAGCGTCAGTCTTAGCTACACTCCGGCTTGAGCCCCGTGAGCTCACCTACATGTTAGGGCGAAGCTGAAGCAGCCTCTCAAGGCTAGGTAGCTAGAAAAAATAGAAAAAATAGAAGAAATAGAAAAAATAGTGAAACGCGCAACAAGTACTTACCTGCTACAACGGATCCGTTTCTTTTCTCCTATCTGATTACGCACTACAGCATCCATATTACAGATCCTCGTTAGTAAAGTTTAAATGTCATTACAGAAAAACTTTTAAAGCTAGGTCAAGATTATAATGTACGATGCAAAAAAATCATTACGTGAAAGGTGAGGACGTACTCTTTGTGGTTTACCAGACGTTAAACTCCGTAATAAGATAAGCCTTTGTACATTTTATCGAATTACAATTGCATTACTGCAATGATTTAAATATTAACAGGCCCCTTTTTTACTGTGTAGTAAATTAGTATAACTGTTTTAATTTAACCTCCTTTTACGGTTGAATCCCGCGTTTTTTAATGTCATTATATCATTTTTGACGTTTCAACTAATCTTTACAGTTTTTGTGGTCAAGGACAATTGCGACTTCAAAAAATACAAAGTAATTGATTGTTTTATCGATATGGCAAATTTTAGCACCGTATTTTGGCTGGTTTATTTATACTTGAAAACCATTTATTTACATAAATTAGAATCGACTTTGAGTGTAATTTAAAGAGAAACAGCTAATTTAGTATCGTCGATGCTTCTCAACTTTATGGATTTTTTTAAGAATCGGTGGCCGAATCGGTGGCAGAATCGGGTAATCCTTCAATAAAACAAAAACAGATTTTCGCATATTCCATTAGGTACTGATTTGTCCACAGCGGCAAAAGGACTGATCGTAACGATGATATTATTGATACATATATATTTTTTCAATTATACTTTTCAAGCCGAAACGCATTACTGCTTCACGGCAGAAATAGGCATGGTGGTGTTACCCACCCGCGCGGACTCACAAGAGGTCCTACCACCAGTAATTACGCAAATTATAATTTTGCGGGTTTCATTTTTATTACACATATTATTCATTTCATTAGTAAAATTGGTACCCGCTTGCGGGATTCGAACACCGGTGCATCGCTAGATACGAATACACCGGACATCTTATCATCCCCTAGGCCATGACGACTTCTAAAGATATAAGATAAATAAATTCAAAATTTCAGTCTGTCATTTTCATTGAATATGCAGATGTATACACACCCGTAATTACTTTAATAATATAATTAGCCTATGTTCAAGAGCGCTCGAGAATGAATTCAATAAAAACGGAACTAAACAAAAATATATATATGGACTTTTTTTTATAAAATAAAAACCTAAACGAATTTATCAAAATGTAACCTTAACTCGCAACGGTTATAAAGCGTCTCTGAAGTAATGAATTTCGAAAGAGAGATAATAATGATAATTTACACTCATTTAAATAATTTAATAAACTTAAACAAACCATATTGCGGAATGATTTAATGGGTATCACTGAGTTCAATGTGAAACGACAAAAAGAATCCTCGGGTCGATCTTGGAATACTTAAAAACCGAAAGACATCCAATAACTGTATTATTAAGTAAAAGCTCAATGGATATTCATTACGCCGCAGAATCTTGATCTCGTGATTCCGATTCGGTAGTAGATTCTTTCGCGAAAGAGCTGCTCTTGAGTTGTTAGGTCTCCTTCGTAGGACTTGGGCAGCTGTTAGCAAATCCCACCCCTCCTGGCTGAGCCTTTGCTCGCCCACCTGTCCTGGGGAAACTGGAAAGGCCCCAGGGCCATCAGTAATCCTCCAATCATAAAAAAAAAAAAAAAAAAACAAAAAAAAAAAAACAACTTTAAATATAATATTATGCTTGTTCCAAGATGACTGAATGATCTTTTAAAAAGTAGTCTGTATGCTAGGCACCAAATCACTTTATATTATGTTCAGTGATTTAATGACATTAAAAAAAATGAGAGCCAAATAGAGCTGAAATGAAATGTCTGGTCCCCAAATATCATTCCCGCTAGGCTATGATTGCTTTCAGTTTTTGGTACTTAACGCCAGGTGAGACCGTCTTTTTTTTTATTCAAATCAAATCAAATCAAAAAATTTTTTTTTTATTCAACATAAATGAAAGTACATACTTGTTGAACGTCAAAAGAACTACCGCCAATTCACAAGAACTAGCCTCCGTCCTGAGAAGAATTGGCAAGAAACTCAGCGGGCATGTCTTTTTTTTTACATATAAAATTATTATTTATTTATTTTTTAATATTATTATTTTTTTAAATATGAATTTTTTACACTGAGTATTATAACGTANGACCTCTTGTGAGTCCGCACGGGTAGGTACCACCTCCCTGCCTATTTCAGCCGTGAAGCAGTAATGCGTTTCGGTTTGAAGGGTGGGGCAGCCGTTGTAACTATACTGAGACCTTAGAACTTATATCTCAAGGTGCGTGGCGCATTTACGTTGTAGATGTCTATGGGCTCCAGTAACCACTTAACACCAGGTGGGCTGTAAGCTCGTCCACTCATCGTCCACTAAGCAAAAAAAAAAAACACACACACATATATGAGTAAATTTTTATTGCCCTTTGTTTTGTTCCTAGTTACAATATATTTGGGCAAAATAAAATTAAGTTTTGACAACCCTAAATGTGTTCCGCATAAGTGAATTACGAAAAAAATAGAGGAAACGGACAAATGATGATGTTCTCTAACATAATCAACTTAATCATTACTTCTAATCGCCATAGATTATTTACTAATGCATATATGCAATCGTTTCAATCGGCGGACGCGGAGCGGCTACCTACATTACGTATTGTCACTATATTTTGACAATTTCATTGAATTCTCTACATTGATTGTTAACCACGAACATAACTCGACGTCGCCCAAAACACGTCATTACGGATCTTCCCGATCCACTAACGGTGCTTTTAGGTACCACAAGCACCGGTCACCGTCCTCGTCGAACCCGTCGCTTGCGATGAGGGGCTCGACGAGCGAATTAACCCACAGACACAACCCATTGAGTTTCTTGCCAGATCTTCTCAGTAGGTCGCGTTTCCGGTGGTACATTCTGCGAAGCACTGCTCGTGCTAGCGTCAGTGTTAGCAACACTCCGGTTTGAGCCCCGTGAGCTCACCTACATGTTAGGGCGAAGCTGAAGTAGCAAGCAAGGCTAGATAGCTAGAAAAAATAGAAAAAATAAAAGCAATAGAAAAAATAGGTAAAAAAATAGAAAACGCGTAACAAGTACCCACTTACCTGCTACAACAAATCCGTTTCTTTTCTCCTGTCTGATTACGTACTACAGCATCCATAATACAGATCCTCGTTAGTGAAGTTTAAATGTCATTACAGAAAAGTTTCAAAGCTAGGTCAAGATTATAATGTACGATGCAAAAAAATCATTACGTGAAAGGTTTGTGGTTTGCCAGACGTTAAACTCCGTAATAAGATAAGCCTTTGTACATTTTATCGAATTACAATTGCATTACTGCAATGATTTAAATATTAACAGGCCCCTTTTTTACTGTGTAATAAATGAGTATAACTGTTTTAATTTAACCTCTTTTTACGGTTGAATCCCGCGTTTTTTAATGTCATTATATCATTTTTGACGTTTCAACTAATTTTTACAGTTTTTGTGGTCAAGGACAATTGCGACTTCCAAAAAATACAAAGTAATTGATTGTTTTATCGATATGGCAAAGTTGAGCACCGTATTTTGGCTGGTTTATTTATACTTGAAAACCATTTATTTGTTTAAATTAGAATCGAGTTTGAGTGTAATTTAAAAGGAAACCGCTAAGTTAGTATCGTCGATGCTTCTCAACTTTATGGATTTTTTAAGAATCGGTGGCCAAGCTTTTTCTTTCTTTCCCCAAACATTTTTCTTCTAACTCGAAGGTATTAAATAGAAATTTGAATTAGAACTAAATAGATACAAATGGAACTTTACCCTGAAATATGCATTATAAATAAATCTCAATACTAATTTTGTTCGAGATCACAGACCCTGTCCTGGTGAAGCTAGAAAGGCCTCCGGGCCACC